GTGCGCCTTGATGTTGTCACACAAAGCGGAGGGACCTACAGTTTTACGCCGACTCCGAACGGCGATTGTATTTTTATGAGAAGCTGTTTTTCATGGCAGAAATACACTCGGAGGTTTGCATTGCCTGCCGAGGGACGACCGCTGTTAAGAAAAAACCCCTTTCTATATATTTTGCGATGTTGCTTTGACCAGGGCTTGAACCCAGGTGCTGATGAATGAAAGCTCGTACTGCTTACCACTACACCACAGCGGCTGAGTTAACTACGCACTGTGAATTTAGCCCTTAGCGTATTGGTATGCAAATAAAAATTTGTAGCTACCATTTTTAGCCACTACGAATTTTTTAGCTCTTTCTAGCCCTTTTTTAAAAGGAATTTGTCTACCACTAAAAATTATTCGCGACAAAACTGTTGGTACATATTTATGTCCGAATAACATTCGTGAATGACTGGAAATTAACGACAAGTGGATAGTTGTACTATACAAAGAAAATCAAGCAAGGTATCTCATATTTCTGTTTTATTAGACTGTGCCATAGCAAGGCGTGGCCGCGTAATTCTAGTAAATTATAAATATTTCATGTATTTTTCAACGTTATATATATCCTAAACCTGCGATAATTTGGTTTATTCGTTTTTATAGCGTTTTTATAACCAGCGTTTACTGTTTTTGAAATTTGAAAATCCTATGAATTTACACAAACATATACATATGTTATATATGTGAACACTTTGTATTTACAGACGAAAATCGTGACGTTAACATGCCTTCAGAGGAGGACATTAAAAGGCAGAGGATAGCATATAGCGGTGATCAAATATACTCAAATGCAAGTGCATAAACTTCGCACTCTAATATTATTGTGAATAAGTGTTTTCTTTTTTTCTCTGTATGTGCGATTTTCTAAAACAGATTTGGTCTGGAAAATGGTGTATCAAAGACGAGCATAAACTCCTTTCCGAATTAGGTAGCTTGACAACGAATAGTAACACCGCCTATTATGATACTCACAACAACTTTTCTGCAACAGGCGCACCTGGAAGTGATGCAATGATTTATGATAGTATATCCTCACTGTCGCAGTCGCAGAATTCTTTATATACACCGTCAATAGGCGCATCTATTGGTGAGTACAAGAGGAAAATATAAGGTCTTCAAATCTATGTTATATACCCACAAAGGCGAATATCTGGAGACTCCCTTTGAAACCAATGTTTTCCGCTGTAGTTTCTAGTACCTTAACATATCGCACATCTTCCTCAAAATGGAGAACAACTCAAAAACAATTTTGGTAAATTTTTTGCATAACTCAACTCGTGAAATTTATATTATCTCACTAAAAAAATACCTGTTTTTGTATTAGTGGCGTTGAGTCTGTACGATCCCCAAGAATTTATATATCCGGATCTGATTTTTGAGTTGTGACCCTTTTGTAGGGGTGAGACGATAACATGCAAATATCGATACCTTTACTTGAAAGTAGTATCGTAAGAAAGTATCGATACATGATCGGATCTAAAGTATCGATACCTAGTCGTATCGGTACTTTTGGCTGTGGAGGTATTCTGTATGAGCTGGATTAAATTGAATTTTTTAAGTAATAAATTAATCATCCTCGGCGAATTCTAAACTCCGAATAATAACAGTTTTTAAGTTGGCAAAATTCCAGGTGTATATCTCTCATAGTAAAAATTAACAGATTTTATATGGTGAGTTCTTAGAATACTTAAATTTCGATGCGAAATTTCTGGGTTGGCTACGTTGAACATTTTAGTTTTTTCTTTGTCATCAACCACGTTTTGCACCCAACTCTTTTCTCCTTTGCTTCTTTTTTAAATAATAGGGCTGGTCTCCACCACCTCTAATATTGTCCGAAAGTGTTTTCAGCGCGAATAATAATAGAATTAAAGCTCAGTTATACAAGACTTAGACTTGACTTAACTTGAAAATTGTATATCTGGCAAATGAGCAGCGCGTGTATGTAGTTACCGAAAAAACCAACTTCACTTAGAAACTTTGGAGAACTATAGATTTTTGATTTCTAAGTTAAACTTCTATGCAGGGATGGAAAATAATCATTATTTTAAGTTGAACTAAAAAAATCAACAAGTTGTATTCCTCGTACAATTATTTTAATTATACTCACCTATTTGTGTTCGTACTTCCTATTGTAATTTACAATGACTTTTATTTTTCGAGTTTAATCAATAAAGATTAAAAATAATAATTAATATTTAAGTTTTTTTTTCGATCACAAATAATTATTATTTTATGATATGAGGTGGGTTTTGTCGAAGGCTGAGGTATGCTCAGCCGCTCCAGAGTCCAGCGAAGGTCCCACTAACCCCCACCAAATAAAACACAATGATTTGTGTATTAAGTCGAACACACCCACACACACACGCGGCTATCTAGAAGGCCGGCAACTTGTCGTGCAGGGGAGAGCGGAAGGTAAAGAGCGAGAGTCGGCAGTCGGTGTCGGAGATTATCCGGCGGGTAATTGTACGGTGACGGGAGTGTTACTAGTGACAGCGAGATTAGCAGTGGTACGTGTCAGTCGTAGCGAAGAGCGTGGCAATGAGAGCAGTCGCGGTGGTTGTGACGGCGACGGCAGCCTGCAGTTCCCTTGCAGTGGTGGTGGCGGCCTCAGCGGTGACGTTGGCAGTGGCCCATATAATGATGAGGGCGGCAGCGACCTCCCGCAGTGGTGTTGTATGCAGCCCCGATTGTGGCGAAGGGTAAATGCGGCCCCTTTTAATTACGACGGTGACAGCGGTACTGGGCGATGATGGCAGTGGCGATTACCGTACTCGTGACGGGTAGTAGTGGTCGGCCTGGGGCGACGATAATGGCGGCGGCCATAGTAATGAAGACAGTAGCAGCGGGCCCGGATGGTGGCAATGGTGATAGCGGCCCTGGTTGGCGATAGTTAGCGTTCGCGGTCCTCGGTGATGATGGCGGGCGGCCCACGGNGCCCCGGTGATGAGAGCAGCGGTACGGGCCCTAACGGTGATGATGATTATGGCGGCGGCCCTGGATGGCAGTGAATAGCGGGCGATCCTCGGTGAAATGTCGGCCTCAGGGCGGTAGCGGTGCTGGCGGTCCAGATTTGATGATACCTACGGACAACTGATGATTAGTACGGTCCCGCAGGGCATCGAAAGGTTGCCCAGTCCCCCCGTATAGTTCTGAACACATTGAAAACGACGAGCTACCGACCACAGCTTCCAATTTGTCATCTTTATTATCTAAGCGCTTTGTCGATGGCGACATGATTTCTTTGAACGCGGCAGCGACATCATGAATTTGTATGAGTTTGACATAAAAGAAGAGGAAGAACCTTATCTGTCGCCAGAAAAATAGAAATAGATCTAATCTGGCCACAACCACAGCCGTCGCGTAGCCCGGTCGTCGCCAAAATAATTATCTACATAAGAGTACGTGTTAAAATAATTTGAGAGCTGTGGTTTGTAGCTCGTCGTTTTCATTGTGTTCGGGCTATATGTATTCGCGGCCGCTAGGCGCTGCAGGGAGGTGGTTAGAGGTGGGTAACTCAACTCAGAGTTGAGTTATTGAGTTGATTCCTATAAGTGAATCGGTAACTCAGACTTCCTGTCCAAAAAAAATGTAACTCAGTAACTCAGTTGATGCCGTAGGGCTCACATGAATCAATTGAATCATAGTGGCTCATATTTGTCCATATAACTCTCTCGCTTCGCCATAGTGTTTAGCATGGCAAAGTCTTGCATTTTGTTTTTGCACGAGGCGAATTTATACAAGGTGGTGGCAAGAATACAACAACAACAACCACATGTATTTTGTATTGCGGGTGTTATGTCAAATCTCACAAATTCTTATAATTTCGTTTTTTTTTTNTTGGGGCGGCAGTGGTAATAGCGGCCCCGGTGATGAGAGCAGCGGTACGGGCCCTAGCGGTGATGATGATTATGGCGGCGGCCCTGGATGACAGTGAATAGCGGGCGGTCCTCGATAGAATTGTCGCCTTGGGGCGGCTGTAATAGTAGCGGCCCTCGGTGATTAGAGCAGCGGTGCGGGCCCTAATGGTGGCAACGGTTATTGCGGCGGCCCTGGGTGACGGTGAATAGCGGGCGGTCCTCGGTAGAAATGTCGGCCTTAGGGCGGTAGCGGTGCTGGCGGTCCAGATTGGTGATACCTACGGACAACTGATGATTAGTACGGTCCCCCAGGGCATCGAAAGGTTGCCCAGTCCCCCCGTATGTATTCGCGGCCGCTGGGCGCTGTAGGGAGGTGGTTCCCTCCTCCCTTCAGCGCCCGCTAGCCGCGCGGTATCGCAAGCAGGCAGGGGTGTTCGGAATTGGGCAAGCCCAAACGGATCTCGCCCCCTGTCTGCTTGAGACCGTAACCAAAAATGGGTCTAGCCCATAATGGTTTTGGGGTGTTGCCTGAGGGGTATTCCCCTCCTTGCAGCCCCCTTCAACCAATTAGTCTTCCTCCGAGGAGGAAAGCCAAGAGCGCCCCAAATAGGCCCGAAGCCCAGGATGCGCTCCGTGCTTACCTACGGACAACTGATGCCGGTTGAGTGTATGCTGGCAGCTTTTGGCTCTGGTTTTGTATGAGCTGTTTGANAGGCCAAAACACAATAGCGCATTGGCAGTGGCAGTGACAGTTTTTAAAATCAGCTGTTACTGCTAATATTGGCAGTCAATGCCGCAGCAAACACAATACGGCGTTGTCAGTGACTGCTTTTTTTGACATTCCCTTTTGTTTGTTTACATTTTTGTTGTTGCCTTTTAGGCTTCAGTGACATCAACAGATGTTGGCTGCGTTTCATTTATGTCAAATTCAGCATGCGAAGTTTGCTGCGATGAAGGCAGTGGCAGTGAATTTAGAATTTGGGCTAAACTGAGCAGTACTGCTAGCTGCCACTGCTGTATTGTGAGTCGCTTCATTGGACACCACACTTTCTAAAAAACAGCTGATTTCGAAAAACTGCCGCTGCCACTGCCACTGCGTTATTGTATTTTGGGCTTGATGCTGGTAGAGTTCATGCTGGCAGCTTTAGCTCTGGTTTTGTATGAACCGTTTGAGAAGTGAATGGGCTTATTCCGTGTTATGGCTTTTGCGCAGTGAACTTCTTTCATCTGTTGGTTCGCATGAGTATCCAAGTTGCTGCATGTGCTTCCCATGCCAGCTTCGCGTATGCGTATGTACGCCTGTATGTATGTACATAGGGGTGCTTTTAGTCTTGTTGGTATGTTAGTTTGTGTGTACGCTTACCAGTATGTATGTATGTATGTTCATATATTGATACCTATGTGCAGTTGTAAGACGTATGCTAGGGTGATGTTGAATATGTTATTGTGGAGTAGGCAAAGCTACGTTACAATGATTTTTATTTTTTCGCTCAGAGATAATCATTATTTTTGAGTTTTATTTTTCTACTCAAAAATAATGACTATTTATAAAATTTATAAGGCCATAGAGACGCAACCTACTGAAATTTTGGCCTGTCGGGTTTGGGACTTATCCCTTATATTAGGGTGTCACTACCTCTGAAAAGGATACGTCGGAAATCACGCTGTATAGCTCTTGAGTTTTTTTGAATAATCATTATTTTTAAGTGAAAAAATAAAACTCAACTGTAATTATATCTTTGAGCGAAAAAATAAAACTTTAATATTAATTATTATTTTTAATCTTTATTGATTAAACACGAAAAATAAAAGTCATTGTAAATTACAATAGGACGTACGAACACAAATAGGTGAGTATAGTTAAAATAATTTTACGACGATTACAACTTGTTGATTTTTTAGTGCAAATTAAAAAAATAATGATTATTTTCCATCCCTGCTTAGAAGGGTGTTAATAATAATTATTATTTTTAAGCGAAAAAAAATAAAACTCATAAAATAATGATTGAATGCTGATTTTAATTATTTTACTCATAATGATTAGCGTCCCTGCTTCTTAGTGCAAAGAGAGCTGTGACAGAAGCATGATGCCATTTAATTTTTTAATAAAATCCTTACAAATATGCCACGGAAATATAATTTTTTGCATAAATGTAATTCATCTGGCAATCGAAAAACAAACTTTCAACTAAGACAGAAAATGAAATAAAAACAATCACAACTTGATACGCGTAAATACATTTATTTTAATGGTAATTTTGTATAAATTTTGGTGTAAAAACCAATTAAACGTTTACAATTTTACGTGTACAAATACAAGTGCTGATATTTAAAATAAAGGGAAAAGGTAATAGCTGACACGCTGAGTAATCGCGTCTAATCTTCTAAGTAAGTCAAGCCAAGTCTTTGTCTTGCATAACCAAGCTTTTACTCTGTACGTTCTTTTTTTGTAAAAAATAAGCAAAATCAAACGAGAAGACATAGCGAAATACATAAGTGTAACGATGTTTAGAAGCTTTTGAGATGGGATATTAAGGAACAAGTAGGAATGTCTAAGTTCGGGCGGAGCCGAACATTAAGTACCCATCGCAAGTATTAAATATATGTTTTTTCACCTTTCCGAAAGCTACCGCTAGATGGTAAGACGGGGTGTATCAATTTTGAGTAAATTAGCGTCCTTAAATTTCGAAATATTCCAGTTTCAAGCATTTCTGAAATTTACCGTTATATGAAAAGCGGCCATAATTTTAGTCCGATTTCAATCATTTTCAAAGTTTTGCTTTTATGTGGCAAGGACAATAAAAATACCGAGTTTGGTGCAAATTGGTATAACGGTTACCGATATACATATGTATATGTGATCATAAGTATGCGGTGCCACGCCCATTTTCCAAAATTTTACCATAAAAGTATTTCCAGGTAAAGAATTGTTGCGAGCATCAATTTTGAATAAATTAGCTTTAATATTTACTGATTTATCGAAGATTTTGTATTTCTCTAAATTATATATATATATATGGATGTGGGCGTGGTTATTGTCCGATTTTTTAACTTTTCGGCCATTTAGTATGCTGTACCAAGGCCAACAACCGTGCCAAGTTTGGAAGAAATTGGTGCAACGGTTACCAAGATATGGACATTGTAACCATAAGTGGGCGTGGCTACGCCCATTTTCAAAAAATTTATAATATTCTTATTTTTCGTCTGAAGTTTATTGTAAATATCAATTTTGAGTGAATTATCTTCAGTAGTTACTAGAATNACGGTTACCAAGATATGGACATTGTAACCATAAGTGGGCGTGGCTACGCCCATTTTCAAAAAATTTATAATATTCTTATTTTTCGTCTGAAGTTTATTGTAAATATCAATTTTGAGTGAATTATCTTCAGTAGTTACTAGAATATCGCAGTTTTCGTATTTCTGAAAATTACCGTTATATGGGATGTGGGCTGGGTATTGTCCGATTTTTTAAATTTTCGGCGCTTTAGTATGCTGTATCAAGGTCAACAACTGTGCCAAGTTTGGAAGAAATTGGTACAGCGGTTACCAAGATATACACATGTTACCATAAGTGGGCGTGGCTACGCCCATTTTCCAAAAATTTATAATATTGTTATTTTGCGTCTGAAAGTTATTGTAAATATCAATTTTGATTGAATTATCTTCAGTAGTTACTAAAATATCGCAGTTTTCGTATTTCTGGAAGTTACCGTTATATGGGAAGTGGGCCCACGCCCGAGTTTGCCCATTTTCAATACCAACCTACCTTAGATTAACGGAAACCTATATACCAAATTTCGTTGAGATATCTCAATTTTTGCTCGAGTTATCGTGTACACGGACGGACGGACAGACGGACAGACGGACGGACAGACAGACATGGCTTAATCGACTTCTCTCTTAATTCTGAGCATTTATGTATACATTTGT